TCCACATTTCCAGGTAGAAGCTGGGATGTTTGGGCGTTTACAATATCCCCTGCTGTGGAAAAAACTCTCTTGCTTGGTACTGATGTTGCTGGGACAGAGAGATATGCTTTGGCCATGGGTGACAGCAGTGGGTAAAACTGTGCATTGTCTCTCCACCACTTCAAAAACAATACAGTTTGTTGCCAAGAAGGTGAGGCTTATTGACAGGGCGAGATATAAATATACTGATGGTACTTGTCAATGTCTCTAGGTATGTACATGTAGCCCTGTAAATACGATGTCCTTTATTGTTATCTGTTGTTTTATGTTCATGTTGTAACCTACTTGCTGCCATGTTGGACAGGTCTCCCTTGAAAAAGAGATCGATGATCTCAATGGGACCATCTGGTTAAATAAAGGTTTATAAAAAAAAAAATAAAAAAAAAAATAAAAGTTATTAAAAAATAAATAAATAAAATTGCGGTATATTTTGTCAGTCTCACGACGGTATTGAGACATTTATTTACCGCGATATCGCGATATTCGATGTATCGTTACATCCCTAGTTACGATGCATGACAAGTAATAGAGGCCCTTTTGCAGCAATGACAAATATTAGTGTGCCTAAATTATATGACCATACCATTTTTACATTACCTTAATGACACTAAAGCCTGCCAGCATGTGAACCTCACATCACATTCAGAGGAACTGATTGAATCAAAACACTCAAAAGGAAAAATATTTCCCTGCATCAAACAATGTAGGCCATTTTGATTAAAACCTCTTCGTGATTGAATAGGGTTATACAAATATACTTAGAGCTGTGTTGAAGGGCAACTTAAAATGGTGTATATGATGCTTCGAGTAGACTTTGATTAAATCGACCAGCGTTCTTGCCACTGAAGTGGAGAGTTGCCAGGTCCAGAGGAAGCTGAATGAAACGGAGCAGTGGCAGAGTACAAAGGGCAAAGGTAAGTGTCCACACATTTAAGAAACTTGCCTTTTTATATTGCTTGTCGCTGGCATCTTGCTTGGCTGCAGCAGAAGAATCTGTGGCCTTTAATGGAGGATCGCCTGTCGTTTCTACGTTGACACAACAACACAGAAAGAGGTTACTTGTGAAAATGAAGAGATGGAAGAAAGCTATTATATAAAGCATGCATTAATATAGAGGAATAAAGACCAGAGTGATTCAATTTCAAATGCTTGGAAAATGTTGCACTGAACATATATCTAACAATATAATACAATATCTAATGTAAATAAATAACTATAAAAAGCACAACGACAATGACCAACAGTGGATAGAAAAAAAGATAATATTTTGTTATTATTTAAGTATTTGAATTATTTTGACTATACTTTGACATTTATTTATTTATTTTTCTGCAGCAGTAATGTTTAAAAAGTGCAAACTACTTAAGATTATTTGAAGAAATCATGGCTAGTTATGTAATGAGTAAGAAGAAAGGGTGTCTACAGAAGATAAGCAGATACAAATAAGCAATATAAGTTTAACTGGTTACATTTAGGTGTACGGTTAGACATTTTGTATTTCGTAAACCCACTTTGAATAAAACTAAAATTCTCATGATGTGAAATGGCATGCTGTTATTGCCATGCAAAGTGCAAACTCAGCTTAGCAAAATGAAGCAGGTGTTTACAGAGCCTGTGACCTGCATGGTAAAAATTAACATTAAGTACACTTAATATATAATATGAAAACTTAAATCAGTCATAAGAAAGGTATTTCCCTTAGGCTATGAAAAAGGTGTGAGGTCGAGAGGTTGAAGACAAAAGAGCCAGGAACACTCCTTTGCTGATTGTATGACTCACAGCAAAGGTGTGGTCCCATCTGGCAAAGTGTCTGTCAACATTTGACAAACATAGTCCGTCCCCAACTGTAGAGGACCATAACACATTTTAGGATTTTATTATTATTATGATTATTTTTATGTTTTATTTAAGACAATATGCATGTTCCAATATCTTGATATGTTAAAACATCAACTGATGTTCTATGTAACATTTATGTTGTGTGCATTTTCCAAACATTTGAGTAGAAATGACAGAAAGCAGAGTGAGCTCACCCCAAAGAACAGTTAATGCGAGCGTTATTAAAAAGAGAGCAGCCCATACAGGCCAGGGGAGAGAGGGTGGAAGTCAAAGGAGGCAAAAACCACAAAAGTAGGACAAAGTACAGCAAGGACAGTCAGGTTAAAGAGTCAGAAGGGAAGAGGGGGACAAACTAAATGCAAACACACTGGATCTGCATTTAAGTGCTTTTCAGACCAGGAAGAAACATGTACTATTATGGCATGTCATTGCCACTATTTAACACGCTAATATAACTGCACTTGTGCATATGTATGTCGTTTGGAAAATTAACTTATCAAGTTCTCTACGAATTTTGAAAGGGTTCAGAAAGGAGGGACACATAAAGAGTTCTGATTCAGTAGACAAATGTTGAGCCACAGGGTTAAGTTGGGTGTCTGCATTAATAGGAATACTTTTTCGCCATCCTGGTGACAGCAGGTCATACATTTCACTGAATACAGAACTTGTGTTAACCATGAACATTGTCATTGTTGACAGCAGCACTGCTCTGCAACCTGGAAGCCAACGTCCTGGGGGAAGCTCTGCTACTGCCTTTACAACCGAACCATGGCAAGCAGGAAGTCACAACCAAGCCGATTTTGTGGCAAGGTGGTGATCAAACAGCGACAGAGAGAAAAGAGGGGCAGTACAGAGTGCTGGGTTTACACACCTAACAACAGATGCAGACCAGAAGCTCCTTTGACTTCACTACCCAAACTCACACCTGTGAAGAATGTGGAGGAGGACAGGAGGGATGGGGAGGAGGAGAAAGGAAGAACAACACAAGATAAAAATCATAAGAGACAGAAGCAGAGGGATGGTGGTCAAAGCAGGGACACAGCTAAATGATGATTATTAAAATCAAGCTGCCGGGTGCAGCAGCCACAGAAAATGAGTAAGCACAAACCAAACTGGTCCTCAAATGAGAGGTTACCTTTACTCGCTAGTGGTCTATAGGCAGAATAAAATATATTTTCTATGTTTCATTATAACATAAAACATTACCACTTCTTTTACCATACTTTATGGAATAAATCCTTTTTGACTGAATCAAAAAAAAAACTTGACTTAAGACTGGCATTAAATTATAATAACTAATAGCTTTGGATATATTATGTCATTGTTTACAAATCTTAACAAAAAACGACAAATGACATGGTCATGAGTAGATACTTTTATTTTAAACCATTCTTCTATTCAGTTCAGCTATGGGTGTCATTGTGCAAAGAGCACATTCAAAACCAGCAGTGCAATACAAAGCAACTACACAGCACTGCCCAGCCATGTGCACCACATCCCATAAGAATAAATGACTATATGCAACATTATAGTCATACTTTGTACGATTGTCTTTGAAACCACTTATTTGTAGAATATTTTAGCAACCACAACCATAGGCAGGTAGACTATTGCAGAAAAAGTAGCACTTAAGAGGATAAAGCAGGTTAAGTCATTTTTATAACTCTTTTATCTCTAAGGCCACTTTGTGGTAGGTGAATTACAGATACCACACTATAAGAAAAGCATATGGCATCCAAAAGTAATGTTAGATATATTAAATAAAAGTAGAGACCAATGCAGATGTAAGAGAGAATTTTGCTTGGCTACAATTATAGTTTTTTTTATTTGAAACCTCTCTGACATACTTTGATGTCGTCAAATAAGAATGTTATAGTTTTGTATACTCACCCGAGGACAAGAGGCTTTTGAGGAAAGAGAAGTTCTCGCCTATCTTGTCGAAGTCAGGTAGAAGTTTGACTATTTCTTCAATCTCTGGTAGAGCTTTGGTCAGTTTATCTGTGGATACAAGAGACAATATGGCAAGTGAAAAAACACTAAAAGTTTGTCAGTCTTATCTCACAATGCATTGTTGTGCAGTTTTTTTTTTTATGTATAATGTATCAAAAATGGTCTCTGTTTTTGTTACTAAACTCAGGGATTCTTTACAATGAAAAACACATATGAAATACAACACATGCTTTTGAATAGTGAGATAAAACTTGAAATACTTACCAAGATCAATTTGGTTACTCAGTTCCCAGACGAAATCGGGAATGACCCAGTTGTATTCACTAAAATCCGGCAGCATATCCTTCCACTCCTCATAAGTCTGGAGATAAAATGACAAACTTTTGTTATTTTCATTGATGAATTGTTTGTTTTGATGGTTTCAGACTGCAATTATAGCTAGTGAAGGCTGTCTGTTTTTCATTTGACAGGTTTACAACTCTCTTACTAAATACAAATGTATTAGAAACACTGAATATTTACCTTTTTAGCAGTATAACCTCCTCCCACTGCCGACCCGAGCAGAATGTATCGGAGCTTCAGCAGTCGGGCAGCGAGACGAATCGCCCAGAAGTTACGCTGCTGCTGGTGGCCCCGGCCCCCAGACCCTGGGGGAGGCTTGGGGGGCCGCATGGGCAACCGTGACATGGAGGTAAAGTAGCGCGCTGCTGCGCGATGAGGGGGCCGCTGGGGGTTGCTGTTTCCAGAGTAACGGTGGTGGATGGCACGGGACAGAGGGTGCAGCTTCTGCAGCGGCACTCGAAATCTCACCCCCATGTTGGTGGAGACCAGGTTCCTGCAGGCCATGCTGAGATGACAAAAATATTAAACACAAAAATGACGAAACCTCACCTTCGTCATCTGCTTATTGCATAAACATCATAACCCCTGAAAATATATTCACAGACGAAAAAGTAATCCCAAGGCAGTTACTCATCAAAGAGTAAACATTCAATTCAATTCTACTCTCAAGAGAATATTTTACAGGACAGAATTGTGATATTTTGGAACAAGACAATCTAAAGCTTGTATCATTAGCACATGTGTTTGCTGATGAAACAATAACAGAAGAAGTAGCAGTTGTAGGATTAGCAAAATATAGCACTATACACTAAAAGTTCTTAATATCTAGCCTGTAAGCCATCATCAGTCCTAAAGTAGTGAATTGAACCAGCCCATGGAATACAGTGACAGAGAAAAGCAACTGATAAGTGCCATACAGTACATAGTTAAGTGAATGTTGATAACAGGGAGCTTATCTTTGTTCCCAGGGTCCTATGTTCCCCTGCTCAATATACCTCAAATAAGACATATTAAGGACACATTTAAAAGGGATTTATATTCACAGCAATGTTTTCCATTCCTTGTTCATTGTATGTTTCCCTCTGTCAATATTTTAATCATCCACCTACACCGTCACCTACTGATGTTAACTCTTCTAAAATAGGACCATACTGTCAATCCATTATTGGTTAATTGAACTGCAATCCACCCATAACATAAGTAAGTGAGAACACAGGGATGACCCCAAGTTACAACGTGTAATGTCACCAATAGACATTCAATAACACTGCAAAAGTTCAAGGTATATTACCATTATAATGTTAGCTAAACAACCCGTTATAAACACATGTCAGCTTAAGTGATATTAGTCTGTAAGTCCACATGTGGGTAGACTCAATAGGATAAACCACAGTACCCTAACACCGGGTTAGCTAGCTTGGTTAACTGGCATTAAGCAGCGTTAAATCCACAACAGCGTCACATGTAGCTTATCAGTAATAGTGCTGGTAGATTATGGAGAAGTTAATCAGCATCTAGTTAGCGAGACGACATCTATTAACACGAAGCAGGTAGCTAGCTTCACTGTCCTCCTCAGCTGTCAGAATGACCAGCTAGCAGCTGTGTGTGCTTTCCTTCTACACAGCTAACACACTTAGCTTTAGCTGCCGTCTCCTTTATTAAATGTGAACTTACCAGGCAGCTTTATCCCCGACACGTAGCATGGTGCTGTTAGCAACAGCGGGTAAACACAAATCTGTTTCAAACTCACTCTTTATGTACAACTTAATTCATCTTTCCAAATGGTACACATTTGCTTGCCTGTTATGGAAGCCAGTTAGCTCTTAAGCTAACAAGGACACAGCAAGACTGACAGTCCACTTCCTGTACACGGTGCTACATTCAAATCAGCACTGACAGAAAATGTATCAATTAAAGAGTTCCTATGTTTAGGTTCGCAGTGCTTGCTCAAATGTAGCCAACATTAAGGTAATCATGGCTTACTGTCAGCCGATGCTTTTAGTTTGTAACATCAGAATGGAAGGACATATGGGGGTCACAAATACAAAATGTAGAGGGCTACCTGTTAGTCGGACATTTGCAACTGAAATACAGATAACATTCAGATAAAATGTCATTTATAAACAGGTGTAGCTGTTGTGGACAATTGAGATTAAATATGTTAATTTAAAGACATTTGCCTATTTCAATGATTAACATATGTCATGTTGCATGTCTCACAAATGTGTGTCAGTGTCACACTTTCCCTTTTACAGGACATCCAATGTATGCATCTTTTCTCCAGCCTTCTTATATATTAAGGATTTCATGTATCAGAAAGCTGGGAAACCAAGTTTAATTTGGTGGAGACCAAATTAAAAGAGGTGACTCAGGAGAAGGACGACCTGGCCAAGAAACACCAGAGCAGGGAGAGTGAATTGAAAGAGGTTCAGTTTAAATAAAAAATGGTCGAGGATGAGGAAAAGGACTCGGCCAAGAAGAACCAGAGCATGGAGAGGGAAGTCAAACAGTTGGAGACGAAAGTTAAACAGTTTGAGGAGGAGATGAAGGAGCAGAAGGAGATGTTCTCAAAAGACCTGGCCCAGAAACACCAGAGCTGGGAGACCAAGGTTCATTTGACGGAGACACAACTGAAACAGGTACAGGAGCAGAGGGACAACCTGGCTCAGAGACGTCTGAGCTGAGCAACGACTGAGAAAAAGATGGAGGAGGAAAATGAACTTCTGGAAGACCTCTGTCTTTACATGAAGAGCAAGAGGAGAGGTTTCTTCTCTCGCAGGAGGGACACTGAGGATAGAGACGTCATCTTGCAGAAAATGCTAAGCAAGATGCAAGAGAAGGAGATGAGGAAGAAATCAAGGACGGAGGAAGCTGAGGCGAGAAACAACTCCTCAGAGGAGACAATGGAGAAAAAGGAGGCTACTGGTGAATCAGCTCCGGCTAGACAACAATAACTCCATCCCTCCAGCCCCTACTTCACTCCTCCATTTCCCCCTCCTCCTACCTCACTTTTTGCTCAGATGGGGTTTTCTCCTGTTTTATCAGGTTTTCCAGAAATCCCTGCTATTACAAAGGACTAAAAAAACATCCACACTAAATCCCTCCTCTATTTACCTCACCTCTTTCCTCCCCCTTCTCCCTCCCTCCCTCACTCAGTCCAACCTCTACCCCACAATACAATTAGGATTAGAAAGACTTGATTTCAAAAATAAAATACAAATCTGTTTATGTGTGCCTCAATGTGTAAACTTATACAGTATGAATTATTTACTGCATCACATTTTGGTTACTAAAGTACTTATATTTATTCATTGTATATTTCATAAATAAAACAACCCATGGTATGAAATAGAAAATTGTGTATTTATACACAATGTATGCTGGTGTTACAGCAATATCAGATCAGCTGTTCAGGGCCTAAGCAGCCATCATGTGACGTTTAGGGCCGTTTGCAGCACGTCAGCTGGCGCTATGATATTGTGTTCCATGGCATTATGACAAGTTGCATTCCACCACTTAAATAAATAAGTACTTTGCTGTAGCTTCTGCAGTATGATGGTATATCCCATTCATGCACACTTGACACAAATTACTCGTACAGGCTAAAGACCGTTTTGAGAACATTTATTGAAAAGAAAGAAGTCAAGATCAATCTGAAATACAATCTTCAGGAAGAAAGAAATGAAGATAAATAAAAAATAAATTATTAAGTACAAAATTCTCAAAAAATGTACATATCTCTGCCAATAAAAAAAAATACATATACCCCAGATTAGGCTCTTGTTGAGGTGCGGGAAATGGAAATTGAAAGCACATTAGATAAACTGTACGGAACGAGCGGACATACAGATGGACCAAAAAGTTTCACCAACAGTATGTTTTCATTCAGTTTATGGTTTCAACTTTTATTTGCTTTATAAATTACAAATAGACACATTTCCCTGAGGGAACATCCACATGAGTCTTCATACAATATACTCAGTGGCTGACTCAATCTAAATGCCATTGATGGTTTGTTTCAAATACTGTGCATGATGCGAGTAGGCGGCCAACTGTCAGCATTCGGTATATGTTGTACCTTTAGAAGAGCGTAGAGGTTTCAGCATAAAAGCCATTGCTGTGTCAGAATAAAAGGCGTAGCGTAGAACACAAGCAATACTAGTATTTACACCTCATGAAATTGTTTAATTGTCTGTACGAAGGTGCACAGTTATGACTCAGCTCAATCATTTAGGCCCTAGCAGCAATATATTAACTTTTACAATAGACAGCTGATGTAGAGCAGCAATGCACATTCTTTTTGCCAATTACAATTTAATGTTACATGGATGAAAATGATCTTTAAAAAAATACTAGACAAGAAAAAGGAAACACGTTCATTGGATGACCAAACAGAAAACTAACAAGATTGTCAGATGTTCTGAATTTGCTGATGAGCACAAAATTACAGTTTAATTCCCTTCTTCTGTCAGGTCCTTAAATGTATACAAAGCAATTAGAGAAAAAAGAAGCAAAAGAAAAACTGATAAGCAAATGTACTTTAAAGAATCTGCAGAGATAAATGTTTCTACGAAGGACTCTTTCTTTAAACATTAAACTCTAAAGTAGACATGTGCTGCTTTCTATTTTAACCATTACTTAAGTTCCCCTCTAATACTTCACATTAAATGTTTAAAATTGTGAAATAAATGCCCAGAATTCATGCCCAAAAAGAAGAATAAAGCTAATGCAACTCCATAGCAACATTTTAAACAAAAACAAATCAAAGACAGTACAAATCAAAAGTAGACAGACAACTGATTGAACACAGTACCAACATAGTAGAAAAACACACCAGCCCTTTGATAATCCAAAAACAAACATTGATATAACTAAATATGCTGTACTTGTAAGCACACACTAGAAATGTACATCTCATATATACAGATAGAATCCAACATCTCTATTATTATTATTATTATTATCACCTTTTTAAGTCCACTTTTGTGCTGGACAAATCAGATTTGACAGAACTAAACACAAGCTATACGTTCTTTTTTTTTCTTTTTTTTTAAATAAGCAATACAAATGTAATGAAAAGTCTTTGGGAAAATAATCAATAGCTATCGTATTGCAATACAATAAATGTAGTCTTTTTTTATACAACATTCAGTTTTAGCCTCAGTAGGTATCAAAAGAAGAAAAAAAGAAACCTGAACGCAAATATAAAACTGAGAAAAGCCACTGATAGTCCAGAGGCATAGAAACCCATGTTGTTGACAACATATCAGAATCTTTCTGCAAATTGGCACAAGAATGTCCATTTGAGCCATGTTATGCATTTTTACCAGTTTCATCTACAGTACTATATATACATACATACATACACACAGGTATCTACTCCTCCTCACACAATGTACCCACTACATCCTATAACAAAAATACTCTGATCAATTAAACAATGTATCTGTGAAAATTAAAAGCACACATTTGAGCTTGTCATAAAAAATTATGGATCCCAAGTTTCATGTGCATTTGTAATAAATATTACAAGCATCTCAATAGACAATGGCTTTAAGGAACTGCGCTTACTTGTTATTGTGGATATTGAGGAAATCTGTTGATCCATCTTTGCTTTAAAGTGATACTCCAGCCTAAATCTGCTTTTTGGGAATCAAACAATATAATTTGTGGCTTTAAAAGGTTGCCCTGAAAGCTTTTTCTCCTCCTTGAAGTAGCTGTGGTCAGCTTTAATTCAATTAAAGTACAGTCAATTCCATTGCTACCAATTGTAATGGCTGAATCAAGCAGCAAAATGCAAACTAAAACTGCTCAAACAATTCCAACAATGTACATTTCTTAAGCTTGGTGTGCCATTATTGTAATCTTCAATCAACACAGTCAAGTTTACATTGAATAATAAGCAACCCACTAATACAGCCACCTTCAAGATGCACAAGGAGTGAATGTTTGTTACTCAACTCGATTTCTGCGAGTATCCCTTTCAACATCAAAGTTGAATCAGTGAACATAAAAAAATAGCCCTTAACTCTAGGCAGGTAGCCAATGTGTAATACATGAATTTGCGTGTATATGGTAAAACACAGAATCCACCATTACCAGCTTTTGTTGTTGCATGGATGTTTTGAATGTGCTGCAAACTGACAAGATGCAAAATGCTTTGTCCTCATTTACTACAACACTTTTAATCAGTCTTCCATAGGAAGAAATGTGATTTTTATAGAAAATAAATGCAAGTAGCACTGCTGGCTTACTGAGCCAGTCTGACATTAGTTTTGTAAATGTAGGATGCTCAGATTTGTATGGTCTCATGTATGTGCACTATCCATGATAACCAACCAAATTCATGCGGTTCTTGTGCAGATTCATTTGATGAAGAGATATTTATGTAAATACTCCTTCATTTTACAGTAATGCTGTGTCTGTAGTAATATTTCTAGTATTGCAACCATCAAGTCTTAAACTTGATCGATAGGAAGGTGGCATCATGCGAGTCTTGTTATGTTTTCAGTCTCAGTCTGATGACCAGACATAGCTCATAGATGTAAAGTGTATAGCCGTGCTGGTGGCTCATGTGAGTAAAATACAGACAGGTTGGCTGATGCCACATTTAAACCACTGATGGGGCAAATGTTTGGCCTAAGTATGCAAGTATAACACAATAACATTTAATATGTTAGCATGCTTTGTTAGAAAAGTACAGTTGAGGAAGTGGAGACTTCAGTTATTAGATTCAAGAATAAGAACCATTGAATTGACATGCCTTGAAAAGCGCAAATGAAATGTATGCATTTATTATAGTCTGGTGTTTTTTGCCATTTCTACTGTTCTACATAATACTATTTTTATCAAAGCTCCTTAAGGTAAACTATCCTAATCCTACTAGCTGAAATGTTTTAACTGTTTATGAAACTTCTGGGTGAATAAGAAAAATACAACCGTTGATTATTTTCTGAGGTTCATAACTTTCTAGTTGTCATCAATTTGATGTATAACGTGCTGAAGTTTGGGAAAAAGGCTTCCCATTTTAAAAGCACACTTTCGCTATAAGTGTTCCTTACTTTTAATGTGAACAAGTTCTATATGTCTGAGGGTTTAAAAATAAAGGTGGCCGGGGACAACAGCAAGATTTTATGCACATGCAACATTATGGATGACGACTACATTTATACAAAAAATGTAATGTCTCCCATATGTTCAGACCTATTGTGCAGTTTCCAAATCTTAAAAAGCCGGGATATTCCCCATTTAATTGTCTATACTTTTTTTAAACCTTGAGCATTGGCGCTTGAGAGGCAATCAACATATTCTTTGTGTTTGTCTTTAAAAATAGGAATATGCCTGAGGTGTGCAATTTTTCTTTAAACTATTTTTCTTTTTGTATTACTTTTAATATAGTATATTTTAATATTGTCTGCTTATCTGTATTATGTGTTGCATTGTTGGAGAAGCCTGTGACCTAAGATTTTCAACGACATAATGACCCTGTAGCTATGTTAGTTTGACAATAAAGAACCTTGAACCTTGAATTGATCAACAAGAAGCTGATTTAAAATCTGCTACAACTTACAGTGAGAGTTGACTATATGATTTCTTGTCTCAAGTTAATCATTTCATGTATCCCTGGGGGTTCATGGTAAGCATAAAAGCTTTCCTTTTGGTTATGGTTCCATGACTATATATAAATGATATAGGTTAGCTGTAAGAGACGACTACATAGTAGCAATCCGAGTATGGTAACTGTGAAAATCCTAACAAGTGAGGTTGTGTCTGCTGTGAATTAAAACATACAGAGTGGACTTCAAAACAACCAATAAAGTAATCGCTGTTTTGGTAATGGTTGGTCTTACTTTAGAGGGACAAAGTACAACCTAGCACCTGTTTGATAAATATACTATACTTCTACTTGTTTTTTTAGGATCATTCTCAAAGGCTATGAAGACATTGTTCCAGAACATTTTTGATAGCACATGTCAGACGCTAGCTCTGGGGTGGACTTGGAAGTCGATTTGAAAAGGCCAAAGTTATATTAGACCCAGCCTGCTCAGACATTGCAATAAGGAAAGAGATGTACATTAATGTTGCTGCTGTCTAAATAACAAGCAACAGAGACCTGAGAGAGTGCAAGTGGTTGAGAGAACTGACACTATGTTTTGTAGTCATGTGCGATCATAAGATTTTTGCAGCAATGTCTCATGAACTCCAGCATTAGACTGAAGTCGCTGTGAACCGGAACAACAAGCAACCTTACTGTGACGGTTTCATTCGAATAATTTAAAGGTGCATTCACTGAACGCGCCTAAAATGCATACACTTCTCCTGTAGGTCATGTGGGGGGTGCTAGGAGTTTTTCATGATTTGATAGGTGGATCCATTTTCTGGGAGGGTCTTGGCTTCAGTTGTTGTCGTTGGCTTTGGAGGCCAGTCGGGGTCCACCCTGAGCTCCTGGGCCAGATGCATGTAGCGAGCCTTGGGGGTCATCCTGCTCGGGCAGCAAAGCCGGGTCAGACACTTGTAGTATCGCAGGTCTATACCACCCTGAAAATATCACAACCCCAATAAACAAACAAATAAAACAAAAAATACCAGGGAAAGAAGGAAAGGGAGGGATGAGAGATGCCATTAACTGTTTTCATTTTATTGCTCAGGTTTTCTAAAACCCTTTTACTGACCAATGCAAATCTGCTAATGCAACCATTGCATGCAAACATATTTAACTGGAGAGAAGCCATTTGCGTTTAAACACAGGCACATTTCTTTACACTGATAAGTATTTATGCATGCAGGTCATTCCAAATAAAATTCAGCATGATGATAGTTTAAAGGAGTTGGCAGCAGATGGCTTAATGACTGAGCCCACTCCCTAAAAACAAGCTCATGGAGTCAAAGATCAAAAAACAAAAAAAGGAGTTCAGAACATATTTTACAGATGTCCTCCTTAAGCTTACATATTGGACATTCAAGGCTAGCCAGCTTGGATTTTAAAAACACTGTACTTGAGACATACTGTACAGTAAGAGTGCAGCAAACGGGATTAATACGGCCTTTACCGGCTTGCTAAAGGTTTTAAAGGCCTTCAGCACGGCAGCTTTATGGTGGTTTCTAAAATTGGCAAGAGCATTACTCATTTACTTAATAATCAAGCTGCAAACCGATGCTTTGCGTTAATACACTTTGGTATCTCAATTTAAATACAGTAACTACAGTAGCTCTAAGTTTGAAAATAGCTTTAAGTTTGACCTTATTTTAAATCGAATATTTGTCTTTAAAAGCAGTTATGAAGTATCTCTCAAACACAGCAGAACAGCAGAGGGTCACGAGAGGACAGGTCAGAAAGAGACTGACGTCTCGCACATGCATGTCTTGGTTAGTACAAGAGAAATGAGTGCTCTGTTACTTTAGAGAAGGAAGTTGGAACAGAGAGAGGGAACAACACACAAGAGGAAAATGAACGGGCGATAGAAGAAGGTGTCTGGTTTTCCCAACCTGTGGTGTCGGGGCAACAGGAGTGACGCCAAAGCTGCCCTGTTTGTCTCGGCTGAACACAAGCTTCCATAAGACGATGTCAAGGATGAAGGTCTATGGAATAGCGCAGTGGGCAGGGGAAAGAATTAAAGAGAGGCTCATTTGGTTCCTAATATCTTCTGCATTGTCTTTTGCACATAGGTTTACAATTATTTTTGCAGACCCACCATTTATAAAAGCTTGTGTGGCAACTTTTTCGTTCTATCAAAAGGTGTGTTAGTCATTACATGTGATGTTACAATTGAGTGAAACAAATTAGTAAGATAAGCATGGATACTATTTCCACTTAAAAGTGAAAAAAAGCTATCATTCTTCATTTTGTGCGAATTTCATTTTGGTTATATTTCTGACACACTAAAAACTGTGAAAGGAATATGCAATGTTTAGGAAATAGCATCACCTCGGCAATGATGCTAAGCAATGCATGTATGCAAGGGCAGTCATCTTAAAAGGGGAAAGCTGACATAGCTATGCTGCTCCAAAGAGCAGGGGCAAGCTAGCAATAGATATAAATTGTGGTGCGGTGGCACAGCAATTTATTTTCTTAAAGAGTATCCATCTATCCAGAGACATGTGCTCAAAATCTGCTTCAAAAGCCCAACAAACTTAAGCAGTTCTGTAAGTGTTAACCATTACGGATACCTTAGTTGGTTTCTTTAAAGACAAGAACACTTTACAACATCAATTCTTCTCACAACACAAGATTGATCTTGCAGTCCGGCTATATGAGACAAATATGAGCACACTGCATGAAAAAACAAAAGCTGAACATGAGAAAAACACATCAACAGAAACCATGTGAAGTGTGTGTCTTACCTCCATCACAACAGACACTGCAGCATTGACTAAGATGATGAGGAAGAGCTTTACCTTCCAGTCAAACGGGACACAAACAACCTGTAGACAGAGACAGAAAACAAACACTCCAACGCTGACCATCAGAGAGTATTTACAAGGAGCCTTGTTTTAAGGCTTTATGTGTCTTCATGAACTTACAGAGTAGGACTTTATATAATATCACAATTATAAAAGAGTATACAGCTTGCCATGAAAAAACAAGATACTGGTCAGCAAGCAATATATTTCTTGTGTTTGACATCTTCTTACCTCTAGAAACTCGTCAATGGCTTTTACAGGGTAGAACATGATGAACAGCAGAAAAACATACAGAGTCAAGGCAGACAGCACAAACGGCCCTAAGGAGAGAACACATAGCAAGCACAAACACATTTATAACATATAACAATAACTTTGCAACTATTTTAGGACAGATTTAATAGGAAGTAGGTTTCTTACAATTCTTGTAGCTTGGCTGCCTGAAGGGTTTGCCCTTTGAGAAAACGATGGCAACAACGAGATACTGGAAGGAGGAGACATAAAAGAGGCTGGTGTTCTCGTAGTTCTGGATGTTGTGGTCGTCAATTTCAGTGCCGTTGTGGCCAAACATGGTAATATGTGATGAGTGGTTGCAGGCACTGGGAGAGAGGGGAGATCGATTTGAGAACAATCAAATAACACTTTCAGGCTGTGGTTAAAATACAGAAATCTAACATTTATGTTTTGATGTTATTTTTGTTTGTGTGAGGTACATGGACAGGGACTCACTCAGAGAGCGGCGTCCACACTGTGTACCACGGCTGCTGTCGGACCCAAAGGAATGTAATGGTCTGGAAGCCCAAGCAGATGAGGATCTGGGTCAGCACAGAGAACAGCAGAGGCCCTGAGATCAGACCTGAAGGGGGACGACGAGACACCAGGTCTTTCCACGCTGGGTTCAGACTCACTGAAGGTGAAGATGCGCAGGGTGGGTGAGGAGAAGAGGCAGAAAGTAAGATAGCGATTAAGAAAAAGAAAGGGAGACACACTACACATTACCTTATACATATTATACTTACTAGTAAAGACAATAAGAAGGATGATGGCAATATCGATGAAGAGGAACTGGAAGTCTCCAAGGTTACTGAGGATCTAAGAAATAAAAACAGCACAGATCAGAGATGGGATTTCTCCCTTTTCCCCCTCACCTACCATTGATTGTGAAACAGCATTACGTACGGAGTAGAGGAGAGTGACACTGATGTACTGGATGATGCTGTAGAGGGCCATGAACTTGAACACACAGAAAGAGGTAATGAGAGCGGCACGACCCTCCCTGTAAAGGAAAACAAACACTGTGTTATCTCTCCGTGCAACATAGAAGCTAACATTGTGTCATGTTGCTAAACAAACACAACCTGACATAAAAAGGCCTTTTCAGCAATATGAACAGGTCCAAATAAGGAGGATTTTAAAAGCATGGGTTGGTTTTCTTTTGTTAAAGAATAGGAATTGAATCCATTTTAAAGATGAATACATAAAACAACATAATTGTCTGCACTTTTCAATCAGTATATTAAGTGTTTATGGATCATTACCACCGCATCTAAAGAGCATGTAATGACAATGATATTGTCCATCTTGGTGCTTTTGAGGTCTCCACTGTCCTATTCATATTTTCTGTGCCCTTTATGTATTGTGTGAAAACAGAAGTAAAGGAAGACAGACCTGATGAGGCTGGGGACACAGGAGATGTTCGGGGTCCTCGAGGTGAAGGGAGAGGCTACCGAGGCTTCGAGCTCCGACAGAGAGATGCCACCATGAGCCCTCTTCAGAGCCTAATGAGAAAAGTGTCCAGAGAGCAATTCATTAATGTCAAACTCTCATTGTCTCATTAAATGTTACTTTTAAAGTTAATGTACATACCCCACAGTCGTTTGCTCCATCTCCACACATCCCAACAAAGTAGCTAGGAGCAGATAAAGAAGAACAGTGACTTTGTGCTCAGTGTTAACACTTTTTCATAAACAGAAACAATGCAAATCATCTATAGTGACTCTGCCACTGAAGTTTAATGAAGTCGTTTTATTGTAGATAAAATACTTCTCTAAACTTTGGGGGACTTGTCAAAGTATTTCCCATCTCTACATCATGTGTTGGGACTAAACACTCACTCTACGCCCTGCAGAGCCTCAATGAGTTGAGTTTTCTGGTCCGGGGCCATTCTTGCAAACACTGTCCCATGTAGCACCAGCTGCAACGCAGAACACATGATCATAGAAGTATTAGTTAGCATGGAGGTAGATCATACAGCAGCATGAACTACAAACATTTCTACTCCAGTTACAGGTAAGGAATAAGTGACTCATTTAAGAGACCTCACCTTTTGAAGCATGTCAGGGAAATGTTCAGAGATGACGGCAAAGGATTTTCCATTCATGGCAAAGTGGTACAGCTCCTGTTTTTTGGGCTCATCTATGTGGCACACATCATCCAGAGTGATGTTCACTTCCTGTTGGTATAATAGAGCATCAATTAGATCCAAAAAATGTTAACATATCAGTAAAAAGTTGCCTCAAAAAACATGAGTTGAATCAACCTATCAGAGTGTATAAACATCGATTAAAATGCTGTGTTTCGCACAGGTCATATTTTTGGGTTTACTTATCATTCACTATGTGGACACATTTATTCTTGTTAGCCTCACCTCCAGATGAGAGGTCTGGCTCGCCTTGTCAGCGTATCTCCAGGTGATCTTGGCGGACTGTCCATCATGTGGAGGGAGGGCATCAGCAATGATGACTGTGTCTTGGGGAGGAATCATTCCACAGTCCCTGGCCACAGAGATGGCTGTCAGCATGTTGTCACCTGAATGTGAATACAGCACACATTAATAAATGCACAAGTCTACAGAAACTCGTTTTATAATGATCAGCTAATATATATATATATTTTTTTTTTTAATGCTACTCTTTTCTTTCATGTCTTTCTAATTTCTTCTCCATTATACCTTTCTACACATGCATTACAAAGATTCTATCTGATCCACTACTCAACAACCAATATTGGTAAGTCATAAGAATGAGTCAATTGTAGTCTTTAACTGATGGTTAGGTGGACAATGGGAAGAGGAGCCTTTTGTGCTAGGACATTTGAAGAACAAGAGGAGGAAGACTGGTTCTGAAATGGTGCCTTATACCGTTTGTGTAGAACAGGATTCACAAATGAATAACTACATGTATTTTCAGCTTCACTTTGTTTGCTTTTATGACCAGTAAAGCAAACTTTAGAAAATAGTTTAAAGGTCAAAGTTAAGCAAGGACGTAAAAAACAATTCTGTTGGATATTGGAGTTTGTGCCAGTTACAGTGAGCTCCCCAGAAAAGTTATTAGTCATGATATCGCAGGTGCAGCAGATGAAATAAGTGCCAATACGCAGATTACCAAACCCACCGGCTGCCTGTATCAAATAAATAAAAAAGTTCTGCAAGCAATTTGCGTTGGCATATCTGTATGAGTTTTCTTTTGAGCAGTGGTTTTGATCAAACCTGAGCAAATGCGTGTATGTGTGCATGGCCTCACCAGTAACCATGACAGTGCGGATGCTGGCTTGGCGGAGGTCCTCCAGCACTGCTGGGGTTTCTGCCTTAAGCTTGTTCTGCATGATGATTAGACCTAGGAACTCCATGTTTGCCTCAATGTGATCCCTATTTCAAAGAGAAAGAATAACTTATTTATCATTATGGATAGGTTTAAAATTAAGGTCAAAGGCAATCTTATCAATAATGTACAAAACTCTACCTGCTGATGTTCTGGACTTTGTGCCAGCTGAGTTTGGATTCAAGTCGTCGATGAGCCAGAGCTATGACTCTGAAACCCTCCTTGGTGTAGCCCTCTAAAACATCTGCAAAGTTTTCTGGCACTGCAAAGACACAGAGAAAAATGTATGAAGTGAATAAAGCTAGAGAAGGACAGATAATTAATTAACTTGAAATATCTATGGCCTTGTTGGAGGAGAGGTATGATTCAGCATAAGCAACAGTGTTTACCTCATCCGTAGTTTGTGTAATTATTGGCTGGAATTGTAATTCTTAAACCATACCGAAAATCAATTTAGCTTATTTAAATATGTTACGCATCTATTCATTTATTTCAGGGGTGGGGAACCTCCGGCCTCCGGGCCGTACACGGACCGCACGACCATTTGGTACGGCCCTCGAGGTAATTTATAAACATGTACAAAATTAAAGAAATCTAGAGCGCAAAAGAGTTAAACAAGCGAGTTCCTGTTTTTCCGGGCCACGTCAGGGTCCTTGAACACAACACGAGCCTAGCGTGTTTATGTGTCGTCTGACAGGGGTGTAGTTCTGCCGGAGAGCACCAGAACCCCGCTCCGGCAATTCAGAAATTGCAGTACCCATGGAGCCGTACACATGCCGCAGTTTTTACGTGGCTGTGTCTGTAGTTGAAAGCCCAGTGGCGATCTGTTCATCTGCCATACTGATCATACAGTCAATAACTTTGTTGTTATTAGCATCTGGTTAGCTAGCTATGCTAAAGAATATAAGAAGCTTTTTCCACAACCAGTGAGGTAAAGGCACAACTTTATATGATCATTATAGTTATACATTTTTTTTTTTAAAGTTATTAATAAACAAGAATACAGTTTAAAAAGGGGAGTGATTTGTAAAATATCCATAAAGAAAAATAAATCTCCTTCCAGTTCTGTTTCATATGGGTGTTGAGAGATGTATCCATAGATCTCCTAATGTTGCTCTCAAAGTGCACCAGATTGATGCTTTTAACTTCAACATTTAAAAAAAACTCTTCCCGGGGGAGCATGCCCCCCAGACCCCCCTAGAGGAGGTTAGGTCCCCCCCACTTAAATCATGTTCACATGGATAGGATACTAATTACATTTGCACACATCTTGTGTCCATATCTTTCTGGTCATGCCACAAGCGTGCATGTGCATCCATAAGCGAGTCATGGTAAGATATCTGGATTAAGAGGTTGCTTTTTCTTTGCACAGCATGAAAGAAAGGCCAAATTAATGGGCTGTGATTTTAGTTTTTTTAAGCAGAGGTCAATCATTTGTAAGGCTGTCGGAGGATGTTGAAAAAATTGAAATGGCCCTTGAGAGGAAAAAGGTTTCCCACCCCTGATTTAGTTAGTTACAATGACTTTGCTCCTCACCTGTGTCTTTCTTGCAGAGGCTAGCTACTATCTCAGGGGCCCCCTTCATGTAGGCGTCCATACGTTTCTCCCCTAGCAGACGAGCCACCACACACATCCTCTGGAGGGCTGAGGAGAAGGGAAACTGGCGCACGATACCTATCTCATGCGCTGACTGCACGCGCACACGGACACAAGGATACACAAAAACAAATACGGTTCTTATTAATAATGTCAAGAAGGACAAGAACATTTAAAATAAAATGTCCATCTTGGAAAATGCGAATAAATGACTTATTGAAAAAAAATATATATAGAAAATGTGTTTGAATACAGCGGGAAAACTCACCGAAAGCTCATACAGCTCCTAGAATTGGAAAAGAGCAGAGTCCATGAGAACACAATATGTCAAAACAACCAATACAGTAATAGCTGAAAAATGTTTCTATTAACTGTGTATTACTTATATTGCATTAACAGGCAGGGTATATGCAGGAATCCTGAAGTCAAATTTAATACCTTTTAAGACCTTTTTTAAGACCCTTTCCATACATTTTAAGACCTCATCGCAACTTTGAGTTTTAACCGGTTACATTGGCGACACACTTTACCTCACATTTACTATATTGATTGTAAGATAGCAAAACTAAACAGAGTGCAGACAGACTACTGAAGCCTCCTTTCCACATGAACTTCAACCTCTCTGTGAAGGTCAGGTTTAATGCAGTATGCTGCTTTTTTGCTTCTGTAGACTCTGTGCTCTTTCATTCCAGTAAAACTCCTCAGAAAACATTAGAAACCAGTATTTGACCAATAAACAAAACAATTGACAAAACTTTGAACTATGAAATATGTTAAACTTTGGTGAGCTTCAGCGGGGTAATGCCATATAGGAGCTCCCTCACAAATACCCAGGGGTTAAATTGGGCTGGGGCTGTCCGGGGCTAAGCCCTGGCACATAAGACGATGCTCTGACGTCATCACCCTCACACATTTGTCATATGTTTACAAAAAAGGATATATATGTTAAGACTTTTCTCGTTCTTAATATAGACTATATTTAGGGTCTATATCTGTTGACTTTACTTTAAAATAGCAGATCTCTGTGACCGGATATAGTTTGGCTTAGACCCCGGCCCCACGAGGACGCATACGGTAAAACGCATACGCAAGCGCAAAAAAGTCTTCCGTTCACACGCATTCGATTCATTAACGTGTCCGTTCACACTAGACCGCTGGAAATGCTGGAAACGATGTAGTACATATGTCAGGCCTGTAAGTGGCGCTGCTGCCGCCCAAAATACACCAAAAGCAGCGAAGAAGACCCCGGAGCATGGTTGCCATGGTTGCCCTTCTGTTTATTCTCCGCGGTGGACGGCGTGTTCTCCTGCTGTATCTCTCAGGTAGTCCACCAGCAGATGAAAAACACCCACCTCTCCGCCTCTTGCAAGGAACGAGGGGACCGTGCGGCAGTTTCCGTAAAAAAAATGTTCCGCCGGTCAACATGTCCGTTAAAGTTTAAATCTTCCGTACAAAATTAGGAAAGTGCCGGTCAGAGTTCTTCTTAGTTATTTATTGAGCTTTAAAAGAAATTGATAACGACTCTGTTCTCTGTATAATAATATAATAATATTTAATAAACGGTGACTGCCTCTCTTTTTCTCCCCCTCTTCTGACAGCCCAGCAGCAGCAGGAGACGTGGGGAGAGGGAGGCGGGCTCTTTCATCGTTAACAGAAAATGATCATATAGGGCACACACGGAGCCGTTGGACCCCCAGAGCGTTGCGTATGCCGGTCTACCCACCTTGGGACCCGTTACCGTAGTCGTTTATTCCCCCCCCCCACACACACAGAGCGGAGCAAGGCAACGAAACTTAAAATAATAAGCAGCATTTTACGGCGCGCTATGCATGGGGCCGCCTTGTGGGGTTTCCCGACATGTCGTTTCAGTAAATTAAAGGGTGTTTCATGTAGTCGTTGCTGTGAACCTTCTTAATACCTTGGAAAATGCCGTTCAATACTTTTTAATAGCCTTAATTTTCGCTAAATTGATTTATCAACTTTTAATACTTTTTAAGACCCCGCGGACACCCTGTAGGCCTAATATACTACTGACTGCTCTACTAATATACTACTGACTGCTCTACTAATATACTACTGACTTCTCTACTATTATAAAACGG